GTAAATGGTTATTTTGAGGAGCTTGACGAATCAGTCTATAGAGATGGCATTAATAGACTGGAACACCGCTATGAGAAATGTATCAGCCTTGGAGGAGATTATGTTGAGAAATAAAAAAAAAAAATTTTTAAAAACCTTGTTTTTCTTGGTCAGGCCGGAAACTTATCAATCCACCCTCGTATTATAGTTTTCTTAACAAACAGGCATTTTATTGGCATTTTAAAAAATCCGCCATTACAATATTATTTTCGCGAACCCCTTCTGCAAACACTGCGAACCCCCAGGGGTTCGCGAACCACCGGTTGGGAATCACTGCTTTATGGCATCCTTATACATATTACGAAACAAGCAGAAATTGACACAAAATTGTACGTTGGTAGGTAAATTATTCCGAATTTTTCGTTTTCTGTGTACAGTTGAATGCTTTAATTTTAATTAGTACCATATGTGACTGTAATAAAAGACATTACGATTGTTTTATAAATATCTATGTATACCTTAATGTGCACATATGTTCAAATGACGCCTTTCCTTTTACCCCGCCGATAAAAATTTTACTTTTCAGTGCATTAGATTCTTACCTAAAAAATATGTGGGTTGATGTTGACTGATTTTAAAGACAAAAAGGTTACGAAAAACCTTCTGTAAATTTTCTTGAAACTGATTAAAAATATTTTTAAACAGAATGTTGCTCAGTCTTTTTTTATTAAGTAGATATGTATATTTTTGTAAAGGTTAATATCGGACGGCAAATGGGTTAAAAAAGAGTTTTAATTGGCACTTTTCGTTAGTTAGCCAGAGTATGCCGGCTTCTTTGATTAATATGAACTTTTATCATTTAAACGACATTTAATTAGTATATGAAACATCTCACCAATGATAACGTTATTTATTCGATTAAAATACATCTGTAGGTGTAAATTTTATAAAATAAGCTCTAATGTCGCTAATAAAATTAACGAGAATTTGAACACAAAACTTGTTATTGTTAATCTGTGACGTTTCGTCCGTCAGGTTTAGTCATTTTCAAGCTTAATATTATAATAGTTAATTGTATCGCATGTGGGGTAGTATTAACATACATCCTATTTTGCAACCCTCTACCATAGACATCTGTTTTTTGTTGGTTCATGACCTAGGAATTCAAGCTAAATTTTTATTTTTGCTAAATACTTGCAGTCATAATTAAAATTGCGTGACTTTTATAATAAAATTTCTAAATATGATTAAAACATTAATTTCTATTTTACTTAAATACATACATAAAATATAAGATAAGAACAAGGAGTTCATGAAACACTATCTATGACTCTCTGTACCCCTGGCAATGTGTGTATAAAACTTCATGATGGGTTTTACCTGCGATGTCGCTCGCTTTGTGTCCTAAATACGGTTCAAACGTCATCGACGACCACATAAACTAATTTTCCCTCGGAAACAGTTTTTTTTCCTGGATAAAGGATACCCCATGTCCTTTTCTGTTCCCCTGACTATGTGTGTATAAAACTACATGATAGGTTTAACCTGCAGTTTCGTTTGCGTTGATGTCCTGAATACGGGTCAAAGATCATCGAATACCATATATCTATCGCGAACCACCGGTTGGGAATCACTGCTTTATGGCATCCTTATACATATTACGAAACAAGCAGAAATTGACACAAAATTGTACGTTGGTAGGTAAATTATTCCGAATTTTTCGTTTTCTGTGTACAGTTGAATGCTTTAATTTTAATTAGTACCATATGTGACTGTAATAAAAGACATTACGATTGTTTTATAAATATCTATGTATACCTTAATGTGCACATATGTTCAAATGACGCCTTTCCTTTTACCCCGCCGATAAAAATTTTACTTTTCAGTGCATTAGATTCTTACCTAAAAAATATGTGGGTTGATGTTGACTGATTTTAAAGACAAAAAGGTTACGAAAAACCTTCTGTAAATTTTCTTGAAACTGATTAAAAATATTTTTAAACAGAATGTTGCTCAGTCTTTTTTTATTAAGTAGATATGTATATTTTTGTAAAGGTTAATATCGGACGGCAAATGGGTTAAAAAAGAGTTTTAATTGGCACTTTTCGTTAGTTAGCCAGAGTATGCCGGCTTCTTTGATTAATATGAACTTTTATCATTTAAACGACATTTAATTAGTATATGAAACATCTCACCAATGATAACGTTATTTATTCGATTAAAATACATCTGTAGGTGTAAATTTTATAAAATAAGCTCTAATGTCGCTAATAAAATTAACGAGAATTTGAACACAAAACTTGTTATTGTTAATCTGTGACGTTTCGTCCGTCAGGTTTAGTCATTTTCAAGCTTAATATTATAATAGTTAATTGTATCGCATGTGGGGTAGTATTAACATACATCCTATTTTGCAACCCTCTACCATAGACATCTGTTTTTTGTTGGTTCATGACCTAGGAATTCAAGCTAAATTTTTATTTTTGCTAAATACTTGCAGTCATAATTAAAATTGCGTGACTTTTATAATAAAATTTCTAAATATGATTAAAACATTAATTTCTATTTTACTTAAATACATACATAAAATATAAGATAAGAACAAGGAGTTCATGAAACACTATCTATGACTCTNAAAGTTACTGGATTTAACGTGTTATTTAAAATGGTTGTCAGGGCTTCATTATTTTTTGCTATTGTCAAACATTCAGGTATTTCACAATTATGGATTTTTTGA